ATATTTTTGCTGTGCAGTGCCCACGCAACTTGCCTTAACACTTCGTTGACTAGCAGTTTTGAGCAACGCGGCTGACGTTCTTGGTGGAAGTCACCAGAAGCATCCCATTGGTCAGTAGGATCTTCTAACCAGTCGTACTTTTTGTTTTAATGAGATTTGGCCAATAACACTGATCACTGAGACAAAAGAAATTCATTAGCACGTGCGCCAGATTTACTGGCGAAGAAAGAACGCTTTTGATGGGATGTTCTGCTTATCTGCTAATTGATCGCAGGCTCGCATCCATTGTCTTTGCTTAGTCTAAGCTGACCCGGATTCAACCTTGAATCAGAGTGCCTTTTATTGCCCTAGCGGTATGCGCGCGCCTGATTGTCAGCTGCTCCGGTCGTTTTCCATGTATACCTTTCAGTCGAACAGCGGCATCATTGGGCAGTCTTCCCAAACTTCCCAATGCGCCTCATTTTTTTGTAAGCGATCGGAGCCTCACATGTCGCTCAAAATCGACCAGTTGGCTACAAATAGTATGCAGTACATGGTCTGATTTTTTCGATATCATACATTCACGCAGTTGAACGGTGTGACCATTTGAACGTGCATATCCCAAAATGATGGTGACTTCCACCATCTCTATCCTGGACTTCCGGCTGCATTGACTGTGCCGAAAACAGCAGCAAACGAAACTAGACACTTTTTCACTCACACAGCCCAAAAATTGCTGTAAAAATATTTTTTTGAAATTAGTTACTGAATTAATAAGGCCAACTCTGGTGTGAGTAACCACGCTAGTCAACGAAGTGTTAACTGCGTTTGATTTGGGGAAGATAATTCCAACTAGACATCAATTAACGGGAAATCATTATCCAACAGGCCGTAATCCAATTTACTCGAGCTCTGCATCGACTTAGTCTGCTTATCGAAATCAATTAAACGACTGCTTACCGATCCTTCTGAATTTGGACTATTGTCCCATATTATGTCTGAAATGTCGCCGTAGTCAACGAGTTTATTACCATTGACAGGTGCAAAAATATTACTACCCCATATATCTTCAATTTCTTTCTGTGCATAAGTACCACTTCCCACGATAGCTTCTGTATTTTCTTCCCGTGAATTGTCGTGTATATCGTTCAACTGTGGAGCCGCTACACTACGATTCATTACCATACCTATGGAAACCGCATATTGCATATCTGCCTGTGCCACTGCACTACGATTCATCGACATATCTGACGAAACCGAATACTGCATACCTGACTTTACAAAGTGCGGATTTACCAGATACTCTAGATTTACCGCTGACGGATTTACCAATTGTGAATTTACCGAATTATTCGGACTTACCACGTCGTTTGGATTTACCGTCGCCGCTGACTGACCGCCTACAGACTGGGTACTTTGAAAAGGGAGGCTTGCGTTTTGCGCACCCGAGGATGGACCGTTTAGTGAGTCTATCCCTGGGGCACGTTTTTCCCCAGAACTACCGTTGGTTACCGAGGCACTACTAGAATACCTGACGGACATAACCGCCGTGTTCTGCGTCTGCTTAGCCAATTTACGTTTTGATGCGATTTCTGCCTGTGCCCTTTCTCTGTGCTCATCAATCCGCTGATCAGCCCAACCTTCCTTTGTTCGAAATTCTGAATCCGACATACCGTTCATTTTGTTTGAGTTAAGTTCAGACAACCGCGCTATGTCCTACCGCTAAACGGATTAGGCAAGCGAAAGTTGCTCTGTTCCCACTGGTTGATTACACAACCAGTTCCTGTTACCCACTGACCGACTACAGAATACCGTACCACTGCGTGGATTAAGTACACCGTACGATCTGCTTCGTATTACCACTTCACACGCACGTATGCGTGCACAAGCTACGTGTATGATTACGTTTCTGCTACTGACCTTTAAGGTTTCAGAAGCTTCGCTTCGTATTTCAGTACAACTGCTACTATACTGTACCACTATGTGGATGAAGTAAGTGCCGTTGCACCGTTCCCACTGGATGACGTATCAACCAGTTCGTATTACCCACGGACTGACAGAACAACGCTACACCACGGCGTGGCTGCGACAGCTGACAGAACCGTTTCGTTTCAACCCACCAGTAGATCGCAGAATTATGCTCGATACACCGGACACAAGGACTACGTATCACTGGTTTCGTATTACGTTGTTACAACACGCAATTACGCATGAGTAAACAACGGGAATTATTATGATTCAATTTCCAATTTATACTACAGCTGACCTTTAAGGTTTCAGCTGTTTACAACTCTACGCTAAATTAAACACTGTGGCTGATTTTCAGCAAACAGTGACACTGCGTTTCTTCGAACCCGACAATTTTCAAGAATTATCGTCGGCTATATCCGACCCTTTGTTACGAAGTTCAAATTGCACGTCGACAAAAGAATGTAGACAAAGGAATTTAAAGCCGGCTGTATCCAGGCCTTTGTTACTGGAGTTCAAAATTTTCGAATACAAAAGATTGTAGGACAATGGCTACTCCGTAGACACGGACCTGCCTTTGTTACCGAAATTCAGCATTTTCGTTTACAAAAGAATTAATACAATGAACGGCTATAATTTCTGCGAACTTTCGCGAGTTTTAACTTACAATTTAAACACAGCGTTTCCTTGCTAGCACTGCCGTTCACTTCGTTTTTGGTTACAACTGACCGTTAAGGTTTCTAGTTGTCCACAATCCAACCGTTGATTTACGTAGCCGACCTTCGAGGTTTCGACTACACGTACTGTTAAGTACTTTAACTGAGGTTAAACAACCTCAACAGCTTCGATAACGCTGAAAACTCACAATGGCTGCTTTGTTAGCCCAAAAATATCATCCCACAAATATCGTACACAATGATCAATGAAATTTAGAATTAGTACAGCTTTTACTCAAGGGAGGCCTATGCTGTACGGTCCCCTATAGCCACCCTGTGCCTTAAGGACACTAGTACCTTAAGGGCACACCAGATCAATTATCAGAAAAAAAAGGCGGGATTATTTCACCCGAAGAGAGAAAGATGAGAGACAGATGCCCGGGGGCTTGGGCGATGGAAGAGACCCTCGGTCAGTATTGTGGGATTACAAGACCCTTACTCTGACCTGGACCAATTTTCGTTTTACAGTATTACAAAAGAGTATACAATAGGACGTACCATCTACAATTTTTTGTAACATCGGGAAAATAAGAACCATGGGTGGGCGCCATGACGTGTAAAGAAAGACCTATCCAGTTTAGTGGGGTACTATCCACACTACCGACCACGCCACAATCGGTAAGAGCACTCTTGAGATCTCAAACTGTTAGGGAAAGTAGTAGATGGTTGTACTGATCTGGTTAAGGAAGAAAGGAAAGGAAGAAGAAGAGGTCCGGATCCAGAAATCCCTGCTGCAAACACGAGGAATACACAAGATACGAGTATACGCTACCTGTCTTCACGCTAGATGTTAGCAGAAGCGGTACAAGAGAAATCCATCAACTCTTTACTACGAGGCATGAAGAACGAAGAAGAAGAAGAGACCAAAGGTCACGGGATGCAAGTGGGAGCTAGTGGGTAACATATTACGCCACGAGACTATCCGAAGATGATAATGCACGTCGACGAAGTAGAGGGAAAACCCCTGACATAGGTGAAAGGTCACTAAGAGGTCAGTTAGCGAGTATCCTCACTTGAGAAAGAGATCCCAGGGCAAGAAGTCTGAAGTTAATCAGGTCGTGAACAGAGCACTACTTGTTGAAAGAACTCTTAACATTTGTGTGGGCGACGAGCGCCTTATATAAAGTCTTGGGCACGCGCAGGTGCGACTCTTCGTACGCGCAGGTACGATTCTGAGAACAATAGGGATATAAATTCTAGCCAATACTCTACGATCACTGTCACGTGAACTAATCAAAGGTCGCATCAACACAGCATTAGCTAATCAGAGAAAAGGGTCAGCTCGTACACTAGAACAATAGGTAAAGCTACGTCATGGACACGCGGTCACGTCGAAATGGCAAGTCGCGGTCAAAGTTCTCTGCTGGACATTTCCTAGAAGCGTCGACTCGGACTCGGGGTCATGACTCAAGTAGCCGTTGTAGTAAAGCCTAAGCCTTAGCCTCGGTGTAACAGTAGTAGAGTAGTACCGATGTGGACGGGCTAGTACTCCCGTACACGTCACTACCTTGTAATATATATATGTAGTATGAGTATGTAGGAAGTGCACTCAAAAATATTTGATTCCGGCAGCTGAGAGGAAAGCTTAATGGTCGTCAAATCCAATGGTAACGCAGTCCTTGTAATTAACGGCGTCCATTAGCGCGTTCTCCGTTAAAAAAATAACTTAATCAAGCGCGATTGGCAACATGACTTGTATATACCTTGATGTGCATAACTTCCGACCTGAATGTGGTCCCTTTGCTAAAAAAATTATTACCGAATGCATTAAATATTAGCGTTTAAGTTTTAACATAAGCCTTCCGTATTTAAAAATGGCCGAAGTAACCGTTTACCGCAGTGACCACCGCGCACAATGACCCCACAATGGCTGGCAAAATCAGCTGTCCAAAATTTAATCACGGCCACGAAAAATGTACTTAAAGTCTGTAGCTGAGCTGGAGCAAACTCGGAAAAATTCTGAAAGCCTACAGATACCGGAAAACAGGCTCGGAAAACCATGGACTTTGAACAGGCGATAAAACGTGTTGTACAGGTTGCAGAGTTTGCAGTACAGGTTGTGTTGTACATGTGCAAGTATTAAATCAATGCTTGCTAGTTAAATTTATGCTCTACAGACTACAATACTTACGGTAATCACTTACAACTGTACAGTGTACAGCTTAGGACTAAAAAGACGCATATTAAACCCCATACCCAGATATCCGTACGCATGTGGCAAGTGCACTTGTACGACAACCGGATATTATTATTTTTAGCTGAGTCGTACAGCGCACTGCGCCGCATACGTTCGGAATGCGGTGGGTGGGACTATACTTACGTCTTTTTTGTCCTAAGCTGTACATGCACAACAAAACTCACGCTTCCTATCGGTACTATTAATACGTAGTGCTAGACTGCTAGGTAAGAATTTGAGAACTGACAGTGGCTGCTACACGCAGTACGTCAAGAATGCACAAACACTCGTCTACTTGTTTAAAAACATTTAGTGGACAGGAATCTGGTTAACGAAAGTCCGCTCGGATCAATCATAATAATATAACGCTGCAATGGCGGATCAATACTACAAACATCGCGATAGCGTTCAAGAGGAACTGGCCAATCTCTCCAACTCCATCCAGGAATTCGATCGGCGACGTGCTCACAGAACGTCCGCCAGCGCTCAAACCGTTAAGAACGTTGTACCACTGGACATCGTTCTCCCAAATGGCAATCTTCAACCGGGGATTCTGCGCAGTCTGGCTGAAGCGGAAAAAGCCATTGACTATCTGCTACGATATGTCGACTTTCAGGCTGCCTGTCGAAAAGTACCGCGGGAGGAACTAACCAGCCGGAAACCAACAGAGCTTCTTTTCTTTCCAGAGCCATTATACTGCAATCAAACCACAAGGCAATTAAACCACCAAGCTCCCAGGGAATTTCGCCAGATTCTGCTTCAATTTGTGTAAACAGTTGCCACTAGCCAGCTTCATCAAACTTTAAAACCGGAAAACGGACAATTCAGAAAAGGAAATAATTATGGGAGGCAATGCAACGGCAGTTAAACTTTCCTATACTTCAATATACTTTCCTATAAACTTAACCAGTAGGCAGTAAGTATACACTTTTTACAGTGTACGCAACTATGTTGTAAATGCTTCCAAAATTTAAAATGAATTTTTTTCAATAACTGTCAAAAATACAATCATCTGAAAACATATACGGAGAACTGGAGAAGTATACGTAATTCGGTAACTTCGGCATAATAATAAAATTAGCCGAAGGTTTTTCCTTTTTTCTAATTACTGATCAATAAAGAGCAACGAATTTCATCTCCGATTTCCTTACCGACTGATGCGGTCCCTGAATGTTGTATGTGACAACAACCAGTGCAGATAAAAGGGCAAATGGAATAATCAGGTTGGAGCGAATGAGCCTACAGCCGAAAAGGAAAAAACATCAAGTCCTAATCAGATTAACATTAACCCATCGAACTGCATTAAGAAAAAACCGACACATTGAGCGGTGCCAAAACATTTATTAGGGACACCGTGCCATGTGGAAATATGTACCAAAGTAAATTAATAGAGTAGTACAATAAAAATCTGCGATAACATATATAAATAGTACAACAAAACTGCATAGCTTATTGCGATATGATAGTCCAACACCAGTCCAAACGAAACAATTCATAAAACTTGTAAGAGATGTGAAAACATTGGCAGTAAATAATTCCACGTATATTTTTATCAACAAAGTTTTGAAAAAAAGAAACAAAAACTGCGAAAGTCTTCAAAATTCTCAAGATAAAATTCCACTGTCGCCAAAACGCAAAATAATAATACACAATAAAAAAAATCGTAAATTTATAATAACACCGCAAAATTATCCTGAAAGTTTCCTCACCCGGTCCCAAAGTCCCGTACCTAAAGTGACACTTCCATAACAAAATAATACACGGTCATCAAGGGAGACCGGAAGAGGGTGATTTTCTTCCTATCATCCTCCTCCACCTCCAGTTCACGCTTGCGGCGCTCCTCAAACGAGGCACTGGACGGCAGTCGCGGTCGGAAGCTGCCCGATCCCACCGCCAGGAGATCCTTGAACCCACGCACACTCCCGTTGGTCTCCACCGTCACGACGCTGGCCGCGGGGGCTGACGAAGAGGGAAGACTGCCGTTGGACTGTGCGGCTTTCATTTTCCGCTTGCGGGCCTTCCCGCTGTTGGCGGCGCCGGGGGGACTGACGTCGGAGGGATCGGAGGGGGCCAGGCGGGTCTTGGAGCGGGTGACACGCTGGAAGTCGCTGCTCGACGGGGAATGCGGACTGACCATGACTAGAGGCGGACGGGAAATGCGAGAGGATCACGTGGACAGGGTGAGAGCGCTTGCCGTCTGCAAAGATAAACAATGCGGTTGTCAAGAGCGGAAACAAAGTTGGGTGGGGATGAAGTTAACGCGACACCTGTATCGCATCGTGCAAAACTGGGATGGGCGATGAGAATAAAAATTGATGGAGAAAATTAATTAGGTCTTAAAACAAGGACAGGTAAACCGTGGTTGGTGCAACGTCCGTTCACTAAATCAGTCAAAAATGATAAAGCAATAATCGTCACCCAGAATCCCAGATCAACAATTTTTAAGCAATGACCAAATTAAAAATATAACCACCAATTTGTAAAAAGTAAAAATTTAAAAATATCCAAGATGGCAAATTAATAAAACGGATGAAATCCGGAAAATATCTGTCCAGAAATACTGATTCGATTTCAGCAACGCCAAACGCAACATAAACAACGGTTCGTACTGCTAAAACACAAATAGAAACCGCATATTTTCAAGCACCAGCTGCACCACTATCATCGCAAGCTGTAGTAATATCGAAAAATAAATCAGTCGCACTCCGCGTGAATATTCCCGTTTTGAAACTGACTCACAAGAAATAAACCACGACACCTCGTAATCACCATGTTTAACCGTACATCGCTGATAATTTCACTCGAAACAGACTGGTGTTTCGTACGCAGCGCTGGTACACGTCATGATCGAATGTTGCACATGCGCGCCGAAAGTTCGCCGAACCGTATGATCTAACCGGAAATGATTAAATCAGAACCTTACGTCAAAATTACATTCGAAATTCTCTACTATTATTATTATTATTATATGTACTCTCTCCCCGAAAGCTTAAAAAACGCCTAAATTCGCGTAGGGTGCCATTAAGGTTTTTATTTGGAGCACTTTTCACTCCCGAAATTACGAAACCTTTTCGAATCGAATTTCGCCTATTGGCTGTATCAGAAAGTACTAACGGCGAATAGGCGGAATCAGCTATTATTGCGGAAAGAATTACTATGGTAACACACAATACGTAATACATTTCGCAAAGTGCTAAAAAATGATGGGTGGAAACAATTATTTAACATCTTGCGAATCTGGCATACTCACATTAGTATTTTTGCATTAGCCAGTTCGAAACGAACAGCATTTACATAAAGACAGCATCGTACATTTCGCAAAGTGCTAAAAAATGATGGGTGGAAACAATTATTTAACATCTTGCGAATCTGGCATACTCACATTAGTATTTTTGCATTAGCCAGTTCGAAACGAACAGCATTTACATAAAGACAGCATCAGAAGATTATTTTCTTAAAAAACGAAGTACGACAATTCGGAAATACGCAAAAATGTTCTTACGGAATTTCCGCCTAGAAACATTAATTGGGTTAAATTATAGCTAAAATACAGAATAAAACTAGCGGTCGTTGCGAACCATATCACTGTACGAGCGCGAGCGCCAATACCACTAATAATTTAACTAAATTGAGTGGTGTTTCGGTGCTCTTCCATTTCCCCATGAAATCATTTCAGCACATGAAATAAATTTCATTATGCGAACATTCACAATTACTTAACATCTTGCGAATCCGGCATATTCACATTAGTATTTTTGCATTAGCCAGTTCGCAACGAACAGCATTTACAAAAAGACAGCATCAGAAGATTATTTCCTTAAAAAAACGAAGTACGACAATTCGGAAATACGCAAAAATGTTCTTACGGAATTTCCGCCTAGAAACATTAATTGGTTTAAATTATAGCTAAAATACAGAATAAAACTAGCGGTCGTTGCGAATCACATCATTGTACGAGCGCGAGCGCCAATAGCACTGGGAAATGGTATTGGGATCGTGGAATTGGAATTGTGTGACGAACACTCTTCATGGCTTCAGACTAATTTTACGCTCTTGACGAAGGCTTATTTGCAGCACCATTGACCATTGCGGAAATAGTGAAAATACACAAATAGGAAAAGCAAAATAGTGGAAATACGGAAATACGGAAAGGCGTGACGTAGTACAGACTGATTAATAACGTACATTATTATTATTATTATTGGCTTAATATAATTAATAATTTTCGGAAATCTTTCCAAAACTACCACCAACGTTGCCTAGGCATTAACAGGAATTTTTGTCAGTTACAAATGGGGAAAGAATCTTCGCCGGTCATACAAAAATGGAAGGTCAAACATTGGAAAAATGAAATTTCGCCAGTTAGACAGAGGGCGCGGGATTTTCGCCGGTCAGACAAAACTGATAAATTTTCGCCGGTGAGACAAAGTGGACAAGGGAATCTCGCCGCTTAGACAGAGGGTTAGGGAATTTCGCCGGTCAGAAAGACTATTAGAGAATTTCGCCGGTTAGTCAGAGGGGAAGAAATTTTCGTTGGTTAGACAGGAGGTAAAGATTTCCGCCATTTAAAAAGCTGGGAAAGGTTTTTGCTAGTTAAAAAAACGGGAAGTAATTTCCTCCGGTCAGAAAAAAAGGAAATCGATTTTCGCCGGTCAAACAAAAGTCAGTGCTCAATAGTCACCCGAAGGCTTATAGCTTATTTGCAGCACCTTTTTATTTTTAATTTTACCTTTTCATTTCTTTTTGCTATTTTTTTAAAAAAACAATTTTTTATTTAAATTTTAATTTTTTTATTGAAACAAATTTAACAAAAAATTTACAGAAATTAGAAATAGAATTATTTAAATTAACAAAATATTTGGTTTAATATTTATATTAGTATCTAAATTTATGAAAAACGATGGAAGGCAGGTCGCTGATACGCAAAATTGTTCTAACGAAATTACCGCCCAGAAAGCGCCGCCCAATTATAGGTTAAAATAAAATTAAGTTAAAAACAAGCGTAGAAAATAAAAATTACAAATATTTAAATTTATTTCCATATAAACAGGCCCCAGATTTATAGATTAAAATGGAACATTTTTATTTTCATTGAGAGTTGGTTTAAAATCAACGTCACAATTAAATAATATATCGGATTTTCCTGCCAAACCAATCGGTTTCGCCCAGTCTGGCAGATGGTATGCCCTTTTTAAATTATAATCTTTTTATTTCCGCAAAAGCCGTTTTGCGGCCAACATGCGATAGCGCTTAGCCAAAGACGAAATTAAAGAACCATGTTTTGAAAATCAACGCAGTTATTTTTTCGCTTCCGTGATCATATGGATGTTTTAAAATTTTCAAATAATGTAGAAAACACGGTAGAAAAAAGGTTTTTAATCCTTTCTCTGCAAACTATAAAAGTGATTTCAGTAAGCATGTTTTTGCGCCACTGTATTGCGGTTATTTTTTGATTCTGTGTTTTGGTGATAGCAAAAATAAAACCTAGTCAAACAAAAAATAGTTCTAGCCAAATAAATAACAGTTGTTTTTTACAACAAATGAAATTACGAAAGTTGCGGTAAACATGGTTCATCAAATTAAAATGTTTCGAAAACTGATTCCTTTCTAAATATTTTGCCCTAGGAGACATTCCCTTTCACTTTTCTACATCTCCTACAGGTTCTACGTTTTGCAAGCCGAGGCCGGAGGCCGAGGATTGCCTTGTATGTACAATTCCTACTCCGCCGTTTTTTTCGCCTTTTTTACCCGACATCTCCTCCCAAACCATTCGACCTTTCGGACTACACGATAGCTTAAAAAACGTGTAAATTCGCATAGGGTGCACTTAAGGTTTTCGTTTTCTATACTTTTTACTCCCAAAATTACGAAACTTTTTTCGATTGAATTTCGCCGATTGGCTGAATCAGAAAGTACTAACGTCGAATAGGCGGAATCAGTTTTTATTGCGGAAAGAATAACTATGGCAACACACCGTACGTAATACCAACACATTATTGGAAAGTACTGTTACAGTAATAACGATGGGCGGAAACATTTAACACATTGCGAATCCGGCAAAGTTCGCATTATATGAGTATCTTTGCATTAGCCGTTTCTTTTGGTTTCTTTAGCCAACATCTCCTCCTAGACCATACGTCACTTCTCCCTATTCCATAGCTTCAAAAACGTGTAAATTCATGTAGTTTGGTTCGAAGCTTTTCGTTTTCGTAAATCTCATTTTTCAAATTACGAAACGTTTTCGAAACGAATTCTGCTTATTGGCTGTATCAGAAAGTATTAACGGCGAATGGGCGGAAACAATTATTATTGTGAAAACCATAACTATGGCAACACACCGTAATAACAACACAATATGACAAGTGCGAAAGGTGAAAATATTTACTGTAACAAACTGCAAATCCGACATGTTTACATTTTGTATTTAAATTTTGAAAACGGATTTTGCATTCATTTTATTTTAATTTTGCTTCATGATTTTGATTAATATATTCTTATTATTTTTTCCGGTTCTTTAGCCAACATCTTCTCTCAGACCATTCGCCATTTCTCCTTACGCAATAGCTTAAAAAACCCGTAAAGTCACGTGGTTTGGTTCAAAGGTTTTCGTTTTTCGTAAATTTTATTTGTAAATTTACGCAACTTTTTCGGAACGGATTTCGCCTATTGGCTGTGCCAGTAAGTATTATTGGCGTATAGACGGAAGCAAATATTGTTATTGCGAGATGCACTTAGCAGCAACGCAAAAGTGGATGGGCGGAAACAATTATTATTATAGGGGAAGAAATTTGCTGGTTGGACAGTGGGGGTGGGGCTTTCGCCAGTTAGACAAAGGATTTTCGCCGGTTAAACGGAGGGGAAGAAAATTTCGCCGGTTAGACAGAAGGTAAGGAATTTTCGCCCGTTAGACAGAGTGGAAAAAATCGTTCCCGATCAGACAAAGGGGGAAGAATTTTCGCCGGCCAGGCAAAGGAAGGTTTTTCGCCGGTTAGCCAGTGGGGAACGGAATTTCGCTGCTTAAACAGAAGGTTAGGGAAATCTCGCTGGTAAGATAGAGTGAAAGGAATTGTTGCCGATCAGACAAAAGGGGAAGAATTTTCGCCGGCCAGACAAAAGAATAGAGATTTTCGCCGGTTAGACAGAGGGGAAGAGTTTTCGCCGGCTAGACATAGGAATAGGGATTTTTTGCAGGTTATATCGTGAAGGAGATAATCTCGCCGGTTAAACAGAGAGGAAGAAATTTTTTTAAATCAGACAAAGATGGAAGAATTTTCGCCGGTTAGGCAAAGGGATGGGGATTTTTGACGGTTAAACAGTTAAGAGTACTTTGCCAGTTAGACAAAGGGGTAAAAATATAAAGTGCAGACAATAGTAGTTCGTTGTATTTCAAAAAATAACAAATTTTTTAAAATTAAGCACTTCTATTATAATTATATTGTTAAAACCATAAACGAAATTCAGTCTCTCTCAGTTCATTTTTCATTCGGCGGATCTTATTTTTGGCAACTAAGACTTGAGTGCTATTTTATATTCAGCGTGTATACGCAACATTATAAAGACGTATTATAAAGACAATCCTCACTCCGCCGTTTCTACG